GCTGAGGTCCAGCTCCTGGAACCTAAAACCAAGCCAGCTTAGCACATCTTACCTCTCCTATAAATCAGCCTCTTTCTACAAGAGGGTCCAATGTGAAACTCCACGAGCATCTCTTCTTGGAAGAAAAACTCCTCATTCCCACTTGCTAAATAAAGCATCAGACTTTCACCACAGTGCCTTAGAGACCCTACTGAAAGGCACTCTACAAATCATCTCCCTGAGAGGTATTACTTTTAGTCTAAGGACAACCAAAGGGCTCAGCAGACGCCTCAAGGAAAGCCTGCTTTGTTATGTCATACCCGCCTCCTGTTAGATGTTCTGCCTCATCCAAATGACTCTTCTCCCTAAGACTGCTCTTCTGAGGCTTAGCTCTGCTTTGTGGAACCTTTGAGAGCATGACAGGAACAGGAACTTAAAATAAATACAGTCCACCAGCACCCAAGCAAGAGCAACAAGAAACCTAGCACTGTAAGTAAATATGAGGTCATCACTCCTCACCCAACACAATAGAAGTCTGGAGGCTCCGTGTCACACACAAGCCAGGGCTCCAAGCTGCTGTCTGGAGACTGCCCATTCACATTCCAGGTCCCCACAAAAAATCTGCAACACAGAAGCAGCTGAACTGTTAGAAAGCAAAATAAATACTGCATCAGCCCAGTCTCTTCAGTGCATATACAGCAGCATCCAGGCTGGGAGCAGATGCAACATGTGAGCTGTCAGTGTAGAGGGTCATGCAGACTAGGGGTTAACTGAAAATACTTCTAGGTTTGGCTCATTTGCAGTGATGCTGATCTGAGAGATTTACTGAACGCTGCAAAACAGAAGACATTTCACTGGGGAAAGCAAATAACTTCTGGCTCTTAAAAGCCATTTATGGTGACACTAAGACAGAGCAGTGGCCAAAGCCGTCTTTATCCTCTTTCTGCCCAGCTACTTCAGTCCTACTTGAGGGTCAAGAGATCTGCCACACGTAGGGCTAACGATGCAAAAAGAGAAGCTGCATGCAGCAATCTGTTCACTTTGAGTGTGCACTGACGCCTGCTTAGCCATCCAAGCTGACCACCCATCAGTAGTGGTCAGATTCTAAACCTGGGCTAGATATGAGCTCACAGAAGAGATGAAAAGACTTTGTCTATCTATGCACACTGTTCCTCAGTTACAACTCTGGAAACAACTCTGACCTGAAGTTCTGAAGGTTAACATACTCCTTCTCTCTCTTGGCAAGCACGTGTTTGATGAGACCTTCTCTTTGTCCTGACTGGGTGCTGGGTAAAAATATTTTGCGCATAGTGTTGGTTACTTTTGGCTGGTCCCTTGAGGTACCCTCTCTCTCTCGCTGAAATCTAGGAAGAAAGCAAGAGCAGAATTAAAACTGGTCCTGCTGTCTAGGAAGAGGAGAAAAAAGGGAACAGATTCACCATGCTACTTACTGTCTATTTTGAGGCACAGGAGGAGGTGGAGGTTCCCGGCGAGATCCCATTTGGTGATTTTGTACGTTTCTTTTCTTCTCCAGGCTTATACTATTGAAGTCATCCTCAAACCCCAGAGCTCCTGTAATGCAGAAGCCAAACACAACACCTTCAAATACAATTTAACACAGCTCAAAACGAGAAGTAATATAACTCCACAGAAAGTGAAAGAGTAAACAGTATAACGATATACCATCTCTGATGACATGGAATTAGAGAAAGGGGTACTAACCACAGGCTAAGGCAGAACAGAGCTTAACGTATACAAACCAAGGCACCAGACAGAAGGTAGCTCTCATTAAGAGACAGTCCAGGGCAAAAGAGCCCAAGGACCAGGATGTTTTATCTACAGCAGGATAAGGTGGGGTTGGGAAATGGAAGAGAAGAACTAGCCAGATTGCTGACTGCAGGGTCAAGCATAGCTCCCTGCCACTGAGAGCCCCATTACTACACAGACCACAGAGCATACAAAGGTGACAATCACTTCAATACCTGAAACAGAGGCCTGCGATAGACCTGTGAGGTTCTTCACCTGATGCCAGCTGGCTGGGTCCTTATTTTCAGGAGAAGCTTTTGAGTGGGCTGGAAAAAAAATAGGCCTATCAGAAACTGCTCGTGATCTGAGGATTTCATAAACTCATCTTTAGGTCTGGTTACCTTCCTGTATGCTCTGTATTTCTGAAAGGAAGCCCAAGCAACGCTCCTCGTCAGGGATTTCAAAGAGCCGTTCAGCTGTCTTGTCACCTTGTATCCGGATCTTGCAACCTGCTTCAGGCATAAAAACAGACACAGAGACACAGTCAAGTCTGGTTCACAGACATTATGCCCTCACAATGACCAGGCTTACTAGGTATCCTTTAAGCTCATTAACGGAAGCGAACATCCACCTATGTTTTCCTATGCAAAGTTGCATCTAAGCTAGTCTTCCAGTGCTTCCAAGAGTCTGCCGCATTTGGAGGATCGTCGGTCATGTTTTCATGGTTTTAAGAATACTTTTCTGCCTGGCAGCAGGGGAGAGAAGAGTTCTAAAGGTAGTGAGAAAATTTCTTTAAAGGAGAGGCTGAAGCAGTGCCTAGACAGAGTAATGTCAAACACATATCTAAAAAGGCAGACAGTAAACTAGACTCAAGTTCAAGTCAAATGGAAGGGAAGGGATGGAAGGGAAATGAGAAAGGTTCAGAGGGCAGGGCAGGACCTTAGGGAAATACTTAAGAAGTTAAAGTTTAACAAATGGCAACTCCTCCATCCAGGCATTTAAACCATGTTTGTCATGACAACCGAATGCCTACAAGGAAGCATAAAAGAGCCAGACCACAGCATTACAGAAAATACAATCCATACCTAACCAAAAGACAAACACAAAGTATAGAAGAAGAGTATGAGATAGCAGACAAAAGAGGAAAAAGCATACATCTGTGACCCACGTCCAGCCTGTTTGCTGAAAGCTTTAGCCACGTGACTGTCTTGGTTATACAACTTACTGTTTGTTGCTATATCAATCAGTAGAGTTTCTTCTGCCTCTGGAAGAGAGAAAAATAGGATCAAGAGAGTTCACACTGAATGCTGGAGTAATTCAGTACCCAATAAAAAACACACTGCCTGCTTCTAGTCCTGACAAAGGAGCAAAGAGCTTTAATTTACATCTCTACAATAATAATGGCTCCAGCAGAGAGAACAGTCATATTTGGTCAGCCTGGACAGACATTCTCCACAAACAGAGTGTCACAGGCCAGAACTGTAACGCTCAGAGCTCTCATACATCTGGATGTTTTGTTCCACATCTGTAAAGTTACTCTGAAAAGCATCAGCCTGACATTTCTGCCTCAGAAGTCCCTCTGTATACACGAACAAAATTTTCTTCCCCTAAGACCCTATCAGTGAACTTCAGAGCTTGTCTATACAGCAAAAATTATGGGCAGAACTATGATGAATTATACAGAGGGCATAAACTTATGCAAAAAAAGGTGTTTTTATCCCTCCCAACTCTTGTCTTATGGAGAAGACAGACAGCTATCAGCAGCCATCAATTTTCAACCATTACAGACAAGTGCTGAAGGCACTGGCTCTGTGTGATGCCTACTTCACTGAGTCAGCCAAGCCCACCATTCATGCAAACTAGCCAAGTTCATCGCAGCTCTATGCTGAGATGGAAAGACTCCCCACTCAGATCTGGAAGAAGCAGGAGACCAAAAACTCTTAAGTGTTAGTTCCACAAGGAAGCCTTCAATCTACATGGCTGCTCAGGAGGCAGGTCTAGAAGCACCACACTGACCTCGCTCCGTTCTTGCTGATATACGGCAGTGGATTTCTGCCACAACAAGGTTAGAGGACCCACTGTAACAGTCAGTACCTTGTACACATTTAAAGCGGCTGTTGATGGGAATATAATCCGGATCAGCATACTCTTTCTCTTGTGAATGAATAATTATCCTGGAGACAGAAAGAAGGCTTGTGAAAAACCAAAGGAACCCCCTGCTTGTACACAGCAAAATGTTAATATTACAATGAGAGCTGTATTTATGGAGAAATGCAACGCATGATTTCTATTGCTATACTACTGGAACAGGAGAAGAGAAAGAGAGAAAAGCTCAGATCCATACAGGATGTGGGTGAAAATATATTTAGAGCATGCGGTGGGAACGCGAGCGCTTTTCAACTTTCACCGCTACAGGGCAGTTTTAGCTGTAGGGTGGCAGCAGCTCTAGCTGCTCAGGGAAGCCCAGAGAAGCAAGAGAGCAGACTGGGAACTGACAGCTAGAAAACAGAACTTCTCATCTGCCTGCCTGCAGGTTACTTTCTCCAAAGCCAGTGAGATAACTCCAGCAGAAGACATGACAGTCAGAATCTACTCTATTCCTAGGGCTTCTCTAAACATACAGGCGCCACAGCTTTAAGGTCTCTGACATAACCAAAGTGGCACAACCCCCTCCGGGACTGAGGCAAGCTCAGTAGAGGCTCAGAGAGCTGAGAGGCTCCAAAAAGGATGCAGAGAAGCAAGCTTTCTCAGAATAAAGCATTTGCATCCCCCAAAGCCCCGCAGGAGCAGCACTAGTGAACCAGGCCGAGCAACTAACATAAGAAATCGCATCTTTGGCCAGAACGAGCCGCAGCGGGGGTTTCTCTGCATCCGGAGATAACGACATACCACCGGCCGGGGACGGGACCTTCCCTCGAGCCCCGCCACCAGAAAGGTGGTCACGCACCTCAGCTCTTTCGGGCTCTTCCTCAAAGCACAACAACCGAGACCCCCCC